TTTATTTTTTGAAAAAAAGTAGTTACGAATTTTGTAGAGAGAAATTGAGGTGGTTAAAATATACATCAGGTACTTCCGTTTGATTGCAAAAAAAACCATGGAAAAGGAGATGCAGATGAAGATATGGAGGAAGAAAAGAAAAAAAGAATGGGAAAATTTTAAGTTTAGTCTCTAGAAAAATTAGGGTTCAAACAAAACGAAAACATTTTGAGTCTTTTAAGCACAAAAACAGAAACGTCAAAACTACATCGTTTAGATGATGCATCCACGTCAGCGTCGTCATGATATGTCGTTTTCATGTCATTGTCCGGTTAAATCATTAATTACAGAGTGATATAATTGCACTTAAACTAAATATTAATGCTAAAACTGATAAAATTAAAATATTGGTGGTATAAATGAATCAATGCTTAAAGGTTGGTTATATTTGAAGTAGTTAACCCTTAATTTTATAGGTCATAATGTATTTTCCTTGGCAGAAACATTGTGAGAAAAAAAAAGGCACCAGAAATATACATTGTACGAAGAAGAGACTAGGGGTGTTCATTCGGTTAAAACGGTGGCCGACTGAATTGAAATACCCTTAATCAAAGTAATCGATTTTTTTTCTTTAATCGTTAATCGAATCGAACTTTTTTTTAAAAGTATTAACAGAAACGAATAAATTTCGGTTAATTTTTTAATTAACCAAAATTCTTTAGAATTTTAGAATTTAATATTTTTTAATTAAAAAAATAATTTACAATTAATTTAAATAATATCTAATTAATTTAATTCAAACATTTTGCATTTAGTTTTGAGATTATTTTAATTAATTAATATTGATTTGGGTTTTAAATGGATTGGGCTGGCTAAGTATCTTAATATAATTATATTTAAATGTTAATTCGGTTAATTAATCGATTTCGAACCGAATTAACCGTTAACCGAATTTAAAAAAAAAATCCTTAATCGTTCCCCAACCGAACTAATTCGATGACCGACCGAATTAACCGAACTAATTCGATTCGGTCGATTAATTCGGTTAAAACCGAATTTTGAATACCCCTAAAAGGTACATGTAAAACTGGCCACCGAGCACCCTAAGAAGAAAAGGAAAGGGAAGAATAAATAAGCATAAATATACAAATTCTAAACATGAAATGTAAGTTATAATAAGTACCCACCAACGGAAAATCTAGATCAACAAGGGAATTGATCTTGATACAGGAATTCAGGGATAAGTCACTAGGCCTTAATCACATGCGTGAAACTAAGTTCATGGGTAATACACTTGGCTAAGCTAAATACAAATACTTCAAATAATTAAAAGTTCCAATAGCAGTTACGACCGACCGATTGATTCCGGGTCACCGGCTTTCATCGTGTTCTCCTTGAATGAGCTTCGGTGAAGTTGACGTGTGAAGCTGCTTGTTGTGTCCAAGAAATAGAGAAGACATGACATGAAGCAGCAGCAGGAAAACAAGGGATGGGACCAAAGATCCAAAGCAGTAGGGGGAAGGATAAGTAGAATGCTCTCAGTCCAAGTGACCAGAAGTAACTTGCTCTATTCAAGTTTCTTGCAACATACTCAACAGACTCCATATTGCCTGCCGATGAAGGGAGAGTGACCAAGAAGCTCACGTGGGCGTAGTATCGAATCGACTGCACATTGCAGAGAAAGGCAACAAGGAAACACAGCAAGATGGAAAAATACTTGATTGAAGAGAGTAGAGGACTCTTATTGCCATAAACTATTTTCGAAGCTGCGTTGCCGGTGTCCGAGATGCTGCTTACGAAAACACTTATCAGTGAACTGAGTGTGATCGCTACCGTTGCCAAAAGTGTTGATGCCATTATGTTGTTGCGTATTGTTTGTACTGCTAAAACACCATTTTTCAAGGGATCCTGAAACATCAATTTGGTGCCATTATGGCATTTGGTTATTGCAAAAACTAAGACCAGACAAGGGCGACACATTCTTTCAAAAAGATCTACAAGCCATAATCATAAAGCTCCTTAAATAAAGCACACAAAGGACATGTCTTGATTGGAAGCTGTCTGTTTCTGGAATCTCACAAGAACCCACCCAGGCTTTCTTATAGCAGCTCAGAATTATTGACTATTTTGTTCTGTGAAAGAACAGCAGAGCATCAACATTGATGTGTTCATTCTTGTACTGGTAAATGCAACTCTATACAGTGGTCCAGTTTATCTATAGTTACAAAATAAACTCTATTGGGGCTTCTATTTATATCAGAAAGCAACAAACCTCATACTCAAGCCAGCAGAGTAGAATTAGTTGTACAAAAATCATGTAAACAGCACAAGCTACCCTTTCTTATTATGAAGATTTGCATAACATGCAATAGAGGTAGACTTTTCCACCTTGAAGTTCAAAGTCAAATACAACAACTTCTATATAAGGACATACTCAAGATTTTATATTAGAAATGAATTTATAATATTTTAAGGACATAATAGAAAAATTATCCCCAACATTTATCAAAATTATCATTTTGATCTCTATTTCTTTATGAAGTATTTTAGTCTCAACCATTCATTTTAAGACAAAAATACTACATTTTTACTGAATAGTCACTTTAGCCTTATTCTTTATTTCTAGACGCCTAAGGTCTCAGTCACAGCCAGAGATATTGAACATCCTACAATATGAATACCCAATATCATGTTTTCATTCATAGCTAAAGGAATTCCAGAAATTAAAAAAAAAAGAAGCATAACTACAAAGTAATAGCAATTCATCCCAAAACTGAATAGAAGAAGAGTAACAGAAGAAATTAAGGAAGAGGGTAGAGAGAGATGACTGACAGACATCATGGAGAAAACCCACTTGTGACGAGACTCGGCGTTTAAGCCGATGACAGTTCCTGTCGGATGCTTGAGAACTGTACGAAGAAGCCATGCATGATAGAGAGCAAGCAGGAGTAGCCCCAATGGAACCAGAACCAAGTCTAACTTGTCTTCTTCCATGGCTATCAGCTTTTGTCTTTTTTTTGTCGTTTTCACCCTTTCTCCCTCTCCTGTCATATTAGATCAGGCAGTTCAACTGTTACAGCTTTTCTCAAACAGTATAAATTAAAGACGCAATTAACTAGAAGATGCGTCCAGTGGAGTGGTTGAAAAGGAATAAAGTAGATTATAAATATGTCATTTACATAAATACTACCTTTATTTTAATTATTCAAGAAAACGATACCTAGAATAAATTAATTATAAAAAAAACCATTTATTTCCTGATACAGGGTGGTTTATTTACCATAATTGCATTGTTCTTTTTCTTTTTAAAAAAAACCAAATTAAAAAATTTAGAAGTATAGGAACTAAATGGAACGTTTCAAAGATTGAAGCAAATATTCCTTTAATTTGGCGTTTCAAATATAAATAGTCTAAAACTTTCAAATACGTGTTTAGGTGTTCGATTGAGATAAATTTTTTTTATTTACATAATTTTTTGAGATTTGTGTTGATAAAATGTGACGTAAGATTAAAACTTTCAAATATTCCTTTTTTTTTTAGAAAAATAAACAAGATTTAAAATGTGACGTAAGATTAAAACTTTCAAATATTCCTTCTTTTTTTTTAGAAAAATAAACAAGATTAAAAGTCAAGATAGAAGATTCTCAGTAGAAATATAACAAGGGTATGTGAAACTAGGGTTAAAACTAACAAACTATATGGTTTTTTAAACCTGGGTCAGGTCGAGTTTCGGGTGAAAGGTATATTTTTATCAGGTCAAATCGGGTTAACTAAAAATCGTACCTAATCAGATTTATTCCCATCCATACTTGTGTTGATTTTAAAATATTGTCAAATTTAAATATTAGTTTATATGATAAATAAGATGAGAATAATTAATGATGTAAATGAATTGAGATTGAACGAATAATGTTGTGTTCGTGTTCGTTTGTGTATAACATGCTTTGATAATTTTGATATACAAAAAGTGTTTAATATTTTTAATAATTATTAAGATTATATTGGATTCAAGTATTCGAGTATGTAAAAATTTTCTAAACCCAAAAACTCTATATTTTTCTTTAAATACTTGAAAAATATTGTCCTAACTATTTCAAACTTTAAACGAGACAAAATGAATTTTAAGTCTTGAAGTATTTTTTTTTTGATAAATAAAGTCTTGAAGTATTGATATTATAAAAACAATATTGATATTTTTCATATAATATCAATGAATATTGACGCCAAAAGCTTTGAAAATTATCAAGTAATATCGACACTACTCATTATAATTATGATAATACCTTATTATTTTAAAATTTTAGTATATTAAACTGGTATCGATACTCCTCGAAGTATTGATAATACTTTTAATAGTAGTATCAATATTGTTCAAGATAGTATCAATATTATCCTATTATTTTGAAATTTCAAAAATTTCAGTATACAAAAATAGTATCGATATTCCTCAAAGCATTGATACTGCTATTAACAATAGTATTGATACTATCTTGAACAATATCGATACTACTATTAAAAGATTATTTTATAATTTTAATAATAAAAAAACTTAACAAAATAATATGGTAGAGATGGATAACATTTGTGTACTTTACTCATTAATTAACCAAGTACTATTCACAATCTTGGCTAGCGACCTATGAAGTTTTTTGTCTCTGAATTGAAAAAATAATAAAGAATGAATTAGCAGTTATGATACTGCACGAATATCAATACATCCACACGTGATGGAGTCCTTTTCCCATGGAAATCAAGCTTGTTGAGGATTCCACCCCATTCCCATTCCCCACCAAATATACAGCTAACCAATGCCCCCCATGCCACATGCCATGCCTACTTGGGAACTTGTGATTTGCATTGAATTTGTACAACAAAATATAAAAAATATATACCACCAGTTCTTCTGTCAGATTCATAGTTAAGGTTTAGCTGTTAAAAGAGCTTTGTTTTCTCTCTAGAAAAATGATGAGTCAATTAAGCATAAAGCCACTGGTTTTCGGTTAATCCTTCTCATTCTCCCAATGGATCCACCACCACATCTGAATTACCCTGAATCTATCGAGTCTTCACCACGCTCCCACCATGACAACACTTACGATGATCCTCTCCCTGCTGTTCCTGGTGCAAGGCTCCGCCTGATGTGCAGCTTTGGTGGTCACATAATCCCCCGTCCCCATGATAAATCTCTTTGCTACGTTGGTGGTGAGACTCGTATCGTTGCTGTTGATCGCCATTGCTCGCTTTCAGCTCTTTGCACTCGTCTCTCCCGTGCACTTCTCAATAGCCGATCGTTTACCTTGAAGTACCAGCTTCCAAGTGAAGACCTTGACTCCCTTGTAACGGTTGCCACCGATGAGGATCTCGAGAACATGGTCGAAGAGTATGATCGTTTGACAGCATCGTCGGCTTCTTCAGTGACTTCATCTAGGATCCGTTTGTTTCTCTTCTTTAACAAGCCTGAAACTGCAGCCTCCATGGGTCCACTTCTGAATGATGCCAAGTCGGAAACATGGTTCGTTGATGCACTTAATGGTTCGGGCTTGGTTCCTAGAGGGGACTCGGATACTGCCACCATACAGACCTTGTTGAATCTTGATGGTGAATTTGAGGTGGAAGGAGGAGAGGAACAGAATAAACAAATCATGAACAATAATGTGGTTCATGAAATGCAGTGTTCGTTGCAAGATGCACCGATGGCAGAGAAAACTTCGTCGTTCGGTTCATCTTCTTCTTCGCCTTCGATGTCGAACTTGCCACCGATTCGGGTTCGAGTGGATCAGGATGGAGGGCCTAAACTGCAGGACCAGAGGGTTGGCATGGAAGAACAGTTTGCTCAGATGAGTATTGCTACTGATGTCCAGAAGCAAGATGATTGCTATGGGGCAGCAGCTGCAATGTCGGCTCCGCCTTCGCATCCGGTTCCTGTTGTGACAACAATGGCCACTCGTGCAGGGGGGTCTAGTGACAACTTGAATCGGATTTTTTCCGATGACGAGCGATCCGATCAGGGAGTGCCTGTTGGTTTCAGAAAGCCTCCATTACCATTGCAGCCAGTACAACAGAAACCTGGTGGCACTTATAATCTGCCTTCCCCTGATTCAGTTGCAAGGTAATTTTCCAATTTTTATGATTTGTTTTCCATGGATTTAAACTTCACTTTTAGAAATGAAAATTGAATTTACTTTATGCAGTGATAGTAGCATTGCTTCTGCAAATTCACTCTCAAAGCCAATGTATTATCAAGATCCAACTTATGTAGCATCCAGAGATAGCAGAACGGTTGCTAGTTCTAATACCAATGCAGATACTTCAATTCCAAACTCCCAAATCCAAATCCAAATTCAACAGATTCAGGATTTCTACTCTTTATCTTCACAACTGGATCAACAACAGCAGCAACAGTTCCTGCAAGACAACATACACTATGTCCCTCACCATACTCCAGCCGCTACTCCGATGCCAATGCCGTCGTACTATCCGGTGTATGCTCCACCTTTACAGAAACAGCTTCATCATCCAGCTGATCAGCAATACCCTGCAGTGTATGTAATGCAACCACAACCCTATATGTCCATGCAATCTAACACCGGTGTCATGACTATGAAATCCAACGCAGCCGATGCTAGCATTATGGCCCCGAGCCACCCATTGGCAACGCAGACTCCTTCAATGGCTTCTGTTTCCGCTGCTTACAAAGAGACCGTACCCCCCATCTACCCCACCAGCACAACAACTATTGCTAAACCTGAATTGACATCAACCGTGTATAGAACTGCGGTTCCATCGACTCATCAAGTGGTACAAGTTCAGCAACCATATGTAGGCTTCTCCCAAATGCAACATCTACCACAATCACCTGCTGTTACTAATACTAATTTCGTTTACGAGTATCCAAATCGTACACAAGATCAAATGTACTATACTCAGCATCAAGCTCCTCAACAGCCTCCGCAGTATCAAACCTTGACTCCAGCTGCTGCCGCAGCTGCATTGGCAGATGCTTCAAAGCAGCTCCACAATGAGAGTGGTAATTAGCAAATCAGGATCTCACAGCCATTATAAGGTGATTGAGTGGCGAAAACAGACGATTTTGATGAATAATGGTTATAGGCGGGATTAATGTTTCTGGTAATTCACAACAACATATTCACCATTGTTGATTATTTCTTTTTTTCTTTCCATATGGCTGCTTTTCTCCTGACAAAATAAAAATGTTATAGTATCGTGTAACATAATAATAAGTCCGGCTTTGCCTTGATTGTTGAATTATTTTGAAAGGGCTTTGAGTTTACTTCATATATCTTCCTTTTACAATCTGGAAACAAATTTTGGTAAAGCAATATTCAAGCTGATAGATAGGCCTGTCTGCTCACTCATGTTCCCAAATAAAGATATGTTGATGGAACAAATTGGTTTCGATTTCCGTTGATGACTGTTCACCCCTTCTAATTTGGGTGAAGAGTTGCAGTCAGTAAGAGGGCATCTATCAGTTGGTGTTTCTTAATGATAATATTGAGAGTATGATGGGGCTGTGGAAAAAGAAGTCTCTAGCCTTTGTGCACTCGTGAATGAGAGGTATTTATAGTGGTTCATGATTGATAGGGTTAGATATAAGATAATTTGTAGGTAGATAGATCTAATAGTTATGAAGTATCTGATTTTAGATTTTGGATTTTGCTCTTATAGATCACATGAATATGTTTATAGGTCTTATCTATGGACTGTAGCTGATTCGGAGGTTGTGGTGCACTTGTGTCCTGAGATTAGAGATTAAATAATTTTGATCAATAAAGAAATCTATCTAAAATTTTCGTTTAACATCTTCACAGGTATAACAAATCATATGCAAGAAACTGCAGCCGTTTGATCATTAGTCAACGGGTGATTGACAAAGCTGTGGTTAAGTGAGTTGCAAATCTAGCAGGCTCGCTAGCATTAATTATTTCTTCATTAAAAGACAGAACGCGCATTTTTTTTTATTATTATTATTATTATTATTATTATTATTATTATTATGTGTTGACCTAAGCACATTAGTTTGCATTATAAGGAATCTAGCAGCATTGCCTTGCATCAGTAGGATACAAACTTTGCTGTAAGATCCTATTAACCCGCTAGTTTTAGCATATTTTATGGCGAAAACTTTAGTCTTCTGATGCAGTCTTCGGTGTAAGCGATTCAAATTATCAAGTAAATAAAAATTTAATCGGATTAGGATTCGAGAATCCAAAGTAGAATACGAATTGTATTAGAATTTTTCCTTTTGAATAAACTTTTTAATTAAGTAGAAATGTATTACATTTTTAAGGTTCATGTGATCATGTCAAGTTTTGAATCTAAGAAGATGGAGTAATACGAGTATTTTTGACTACTCGACCAATTAATGTACCTCTTTTGGATAAACATTTTAACCTTGATTCATAAAATATGCTCGATATATGTAATTATTTGTATTCACAATCTCTAAAAAAATAACACTTATCTGAGATCGTCTGATAAATTCATATTACATACTACTTTAATAATGATAGTAATAGTATATTTGTGTCGGCAAGCAGCAGTAGATTTTTTAGTTTTAATGGCAGATTGTGTGACATGAATGATAGCAAAAAGGGTAGGAGTGTCGTGTCATTACATGACAAGCTAGTTGCAAGTTTGCTGTAATTTCAAGGATGAATTTTGTTATATTTTATGTTTATTATTGTAACAATTTCTAACTACTGTACAATGATGGAGTTGGGGTAGGTCTGTATAATGTAAACCAGAAGAAACATGAAAAAAGAAAAATAGAGTAAAAGCAATCAAAATATAAATTGGTAAATTAATTTTATTAATACAGAAGCAATTTTTATTTGCATGAGTTTGTCATTAAATGGTAAAAGCCAACCTTATTATTAATTTGTTTTAGCTAAAATGAAGAAATATTTATTTATTTTTAATAATCTCAAAATTTTTCTTAATCATTAATAATGCATATACATCCCGTAGATACAATTGGTCGAATCTGCAACCATTAAGAAGAATAAGAACAAAAATTTATTCCTACTTGAATGATAATTATACACAGATTTCATTTTTAAGGCAGAGAGATATGAACAATTATGATGATCCTACCAGAAAAAGCACATTTCTTCTGGCATATAAAAACCACCTACTATTATCATACATAGCAGGCATGGCAGAAATGGAGCACAATATTAAAGAAGCTGGTGGATGGTTTGCTGAGCATTGCCCAATTTGGCCAGGTGAAAACAAAATATCTAAATTTCTCTTTCCCTTTTTTATATACATACATGTATGTATAGTTTAATATATCCTTTCTTTTGATATCTAGCTACATGTACATTTCATCTTCTTTATAGATATATTTGTTACTTCTGATGTCACTCTTCCATATGAGGAATTTCGAGACTTTCAAGGTTTTTTAAGATATCTTAAAATTTATCTAGAGATAATATATCATATTCTTTATTTAAATATATTCTTTTGACATGCCTATTAATCTTATCACTGACTAAAATTTAATATATGACATTCAAATCTACTCACATGTCAATCCATCAATAATCATCGATCCTAGCATTGACTATAACCACTCTATTGTCGGGTGTCAATGATATATATTCCCACCCAAGCAAGACTGAGAAGAAGAGCTTCAACCCTACACCCACTATTTATCATCTTTTTCAATCTTTTTTTCTCTCTCCGAAATCACCACTACTACGCTCCACTCAATCTAAAAAAAGATGAACCGTCTAAGACTATCACCGTCCTACTCAGACCATCAATAATATGTTTAGATAACCCTTTTTCCCGATCGGAATAACAAGCTAGATATATGGATCCTCTTCCAAATGAATTTACGTAAAGGCACTCAATGCGAATTCAGACCTGAGCAAAGCGGCAGCCTTAATCATATCTGTGTTTTAAAAGCATAGACATATTTAGATTTGAGATTTTGTAGTTTCACTGAAGTTGCCGAATGTTGTTGTTCATCATGTATCTTGAAGGACAAGCACACTTCTTGAAGGTTGAGAAAGTTTTATTCGAGGGGAAGTCAAAGTACCAAAGAATAATGGTGTTTCAGGTACATTCATTCAGTTTTAACCTAATCTATACTGAATATATATATATATATATATGTGATTCTTCTTAATTATGTTCTGATTTATATATGGTGACCTTGCTGGAACTTCCATTTGTAGTCATCAGGATATGGGAAGGTGTTTGTATTAGATGGCGCTCTCCAACTGACAGAGAAAGATGAATTTTCATATCAAGAAATGATGACCCACCTTCCTCTTTGCTCCATTCCAGCACCCAACAAGGTTCATATAAATTAATTACACTACTCGATTTATATATATATATCTTCCGATGTCTATGTTATAGTTATGGATCCGAAGATACAAACTAGGTATAAACTCTTCCGTCTGCTAAGATCATCTTCGAAAGAATTCTCCTAAAAATAAAATTATTCGATCGACCATAAACCTTTTACAAGACCTTTGATAAATGCAAGAGATTTGTCTAGTCCAAATCTATATTTATGAACTTTGTCAGTCTACGAATAACAATAATGATTCTTGGTCTGACACAAGCATACAGAAGAAAATAGATACTAGGTATAACCTCTTTCGCCTATTAAGACCATCTTCAAAAGAATTCCCCCATAAAGAAAATCCTCTGACCGACCATAAATCTTTGAAAAGATTCTTGACAAATCAAAGAGATTTGATGGTCCAAGTACAAATAACAATGATGACTTTAAGTCTGACATAAGCACGCAGAAAGGGTTAATATATAAACCCATAGGAGAGAAGAGGAGGTTTCTTCTTCGAACACTTCCCTTTGAACTCTCTCTAGCACTCTTCTTTGTCCTTTTATAACCCTCTAACTGCTTTTTCTTCATGCTGCGACTCTCCATTTAAATCAGAAGAAATGAACTGACCACAGTTGTTGTGACGTATTTGCTACATTCTACCATTTTTTTTTCAGGTGCTGCTCATTGGTGGAGGAGATGGTGGGATCCTAAGGGAAATATCTCGCCATAATTCTGTCGACCAAATGGATATATGCGAGATCGACACAATGCTGATTGATGTAAGTGGACAAACAAGTCCTTTTATTCTCCACAGCATTACTCCAATTGACTTCATTTGTGCTGTAAATTTTAAAGGTGTATAAGGAATTCTTCCCTGATATTGCCGTTGGCTATGATGATCCTCGTGTAACACTTCATGTTCAAGATGGTATGCATGTGCATACTTTTTCCTTTTTTGAGATTTAAATAGCAGTTTACTATACGAATAACGATTGTTAATAACTGTAAAAATGTCATTCGAAACTATTATCCCTATAAGTATATTCGTAAGTAATTCTAATGCTTTTCCCTGCAGGAACCGCATTTTTGAAGTCTGTTCCGAATGCTACATATGATGCAATAATAGTGGATGCATTTGACCCCATAAGTATATCCCTCTCCTTTTCACTTTTACTCCGTATAATCATGGTATAATCCCGAAATTAGCCTCCAATGTTTATCAAAAAGATAATTTTAGTTTATATTTTTTTGGAAGTATTTTGACTCCAATGTTTTATTTTAAGACAAAAATACTCTTAACGTTTGATCAAATATTCACTTTAGTCCTAATATTTTGGAGCATTTTGACCTTTAAAATTTTATTTTAGGGTAAAAAAGACACCAATTTTAGAGTTAACAGTTTCCATCCATATAAGGTCTTTTATCTCCAAAATGAAACATTTGAGTCCAAATACTCCAAAAAAAAAATAGAGACCAAAGTAACTATTTAATGAAACTTTAGGAGTTTTTTTGACATTATGTCTATAATCATTTTATGTTCTTCATTACACTGATAAAATGCAGGACCAGAACATGAGCTTTTTGGCAGTCCATTCTTTAAGTTGACGGCAAAAGCTCTCCGTCCCGGAGGAGTGATGTGCATTCAGGCAGAAAGCCTGTGGTATCAGCCACTCAACATTGATAAACTCGTCTCGAGTTTTCGCCATATTTTTCTAGGATCCATCAGCTATGCTTGGACAGCAGTTCCAACATATCCAAGGCATGCATGCTTCCCCCTCTCAAGTCTCAACTCCTAATTTTTAGAGTTTGCCATTTACAGATATTTATATTGCAATTGCGATCGCGTTTTCAATTGTGTTGTGTTTATCATGATTACGGATATAACAAATATTATTGCGATCACTGTGAGTATCACAATCATACAATAATAATTTCGGATGATACTGTTACCGCTACTTAAATCCCTGAAATTTCAATGTAGTGATAGGGAAACAAGAAGAAGCTATAATTGTGTCTAACAAAAAAAAAAATCTTATTATTACAGTGGCGTGATTGGTTTCTTGCTTTGCTCAACCGAAGGGCCATATGTGGACTTCAAAAAGCCTGTCAACCCCATGGAACCCGACCAAATCACCGGCGTTGCCAAACAACCCTTGAGATTTTACAACACAGAGGTAATAATAATTCATGGAAATTCTTGAAAATCTTTACATGACTTTTTGTAAAACAAATATAAACACCTAAACGGATCGATTCGAATTGTAATTCGGTTTGTCTTGATCAATAATCAGTACGTAATATAACCAATAATTAGTTGATTTAGTAAGATAAGATATTAGATTTATTAAATAAAATCAGGGTTCGAATCCGTTGAGAATGAAGTTAACTGGGCTGGGAGAGCCTCGCTCCCATAATAGACCTTTGTAATACTCGATCTGAATTAATCGATTAACAGATCAGATACCAATGTGATTTATAAAAAAGTAATCGGTAACAGATCAGATACCATGCACGCAAGCACCAGCATGCATGTCTTTACAATACATCTTCTCCTAACATTTATAATTAAAAGATAAATTCAAACTAATAAAAAAAGATTTTCAAGATTCAAATAAGTGAGGCAACCTTGGAGTGTGGATATCTCTTTTATATTTAAAGTTTAATATTTTCACTTGCAATTATAAAAAAAAAAGTTTAATGTTTCGCTAATTCTATTTTCAGGTACACTCGGCTGCATTTTGTTTGCCAACTTTTGCGAAAAAGACAAATTGACTTCAATGTTTGAAGTGTTTTGAGAATTAGGGATTCAAATGCAAGTTTCCAATAATGTTGTGCCAACGCAAAAATTTACCCTCTCTCACATTTGAAATAGTGAATCATGGTATGAAGTTTCTCATCAATGTATACTAAAACCCTTTTATTAATTTGGTCATTTATTTAAAAAAATATGCATTCTTCATTTTAAACAGTGTATGTGACTTTTTCCTTTTAAGATTTTCCCATGCAACTATGTTATATTTCTTTCTTATTATTCCATGATTACTCGATGTTAATTTCTGTTCTTGTGACATTTGAGTAAAAAAACCCTACAAGTAGAGTGAAAAAAATGTGTATATTAATTCATTCTTGGGTTTGAATCTTATTAGGGTAAATTTTTATTATTTATTTAAACATTATATGAAAATATGAAGAAGAAAAGCAAACTCAAATTATTCATCATTTAGAAGAATGAGCTTTTCCACTATGCTTTTAGAGTTCTTGAGACCCCGTCAATCAAATATTATATGACAAGGTAGTATCTGTTCAGAATGTTAAACTCATTAAAAAGAAAAGAAAAGAGACAATAGTATCTCCAGACAATGCAGTGGAAGTAGAGTTATCATCAAAAACTATTTCACAAAGCTAAACCTAAAAGAATTACAACAATATCAATTCCAGTGATAAGGAAACCCCCTCAGTAGGATGCACTCAAAATTACACCCTCCATACTGTTGATTCCAATTCAAGCACTACTTTAAAATGGGGGCAAGGAATATAAATATAAAATATTCTAATCAAACAAAATCAAACATGCCTTTCGATGCACTTTTCCGGCATGTGAAACGGGGGGAGAGTGAACTACATCAAGTGGATAAACCCAACTCCAAGTCAGTAAAAAAACATACAGCTCCTTCCCCAGTCAGGCGAAATGAGGCAACAAATGTGTTTGCAATTCAAGCTGATATGGGCTCGTACGGGTACGATAGCCATGGGTGCTTTAGAGCCTCTGATGCAGAAGGCCTCTTCCTTGGGCTTACTTCAAGCAAATGAGTGACAAAATCAATGAAACCCTGGTCCCCCATAGGCAATCGATGCCTCAAGGATGTCTTCTTGGGTATCAGATATTCTAGTCTGTTCGTCTCCTGAGATATGGTAAATACAAACCACTTTTAAATCCAAATGCTTAAGCACAAAAACAACATTCAAGTTGTTTATCTTTCGCTTCGGACTATCCACCATGTATTCATGATATTGTTATTTCCGATGCCAATTACGAATTTTATCTTCAAAAGGAAAAAGTTGTAGTCTCAGACTCTCACTGCAAAGGGAAGTAATGTCTAGAAGTAAACAATAAGAAAATATATACCTGATTACGTTCATAAAGCATGTGATTCTTGGAAAAGTATTTGTATGTATCCCGTCCTTTTGCAAGCATGTCTTGTCGAATGGGACCTATGATTCCAATTACTCTTGCTAGTAATGTCGCAGGTGAATCATTTTGGAACAGGACCTACACCATCATATTCAAACCAAATTGTTCCAAACATTAGTAGACAGGTTTTGCAATAAAATCAATAAATTGAACCAAGTAGTCATAAAATTGTACAAGTTTTCTGCCTCTTCTTTTTTTCTATTATAGTTTCAGAACCAGTCAATTCAAACATAAATCATAGAGTGGCGGTTAAGGAGGAATTGTTGAAGAGAGGGGTAGCTGGGATCGAAGACAACCTATGTCCGATGTGTCGTAAATATGCAGAAACGGTTTCACATCTTTTTTTGCTTTGTGAGGTAGTATGGGGACTATGGTCTAGATTTCTGAAGTTATGGAATGTTTCTTTTGTGGTTCCTAAAAATTTGATTGATTTCATCATTTTATGGGACGATTTATTACCGAAATCAAATATTTGGAAATTTATTCCAAAGACGGTGATGTGGACTGTTTGGAAATGCAGAAATGAGGTAATTTTTCAGAAAGTAAAGGTGGATGCAGTATTACTCTTCTTTCTTGTTCGATTTAGAACTGCTACTTGGTTTGAAACTAGATTCAAGGATCTGCATATCCCGTTTGATTCCTTAGTGGGAGATTTGAAATTAGCTGATTCAATGGGAAGACAGAATAAGGAATATTCTACTTCTTCCTGTTGGGTGAATCCTCCTGATGGTTTCGTTAAACTCAATGTTGATGGTGCGATGGTGAGGGGCTGGGATAAAAGAGGTATAGGCGGGCTGATTAGGGACAGCACAGGTATGTTGATTAAAGCGTTTTCAGAAAGGGTTAGGGGAGGTCCTCCTATAATGGCAGAACAATTGGCGATTAAGAGAGGTCTGATTCTTATTGAAGAATTAGGATCTGCCCTAAATCAGAGGGTTATTTTAGAATCGGATTCAAGTACAGTACTGAAGTGGATTAAAAATCCAGACTTAAGCACCCCTATGTTTCAGTCCTTGGTGAAGGACATAGCTACTCGTATGGAAGGTCAAAATATCATTTCAAGGCATCTTCTGAGAGCTGCTAATTGGGAAGCAGATAAGTTAGCTAAAGATGGTATAGGCTGATTTCTAGGTTATGTTTTTGGGTATCTTAACAAGTACAGAAACGTTTTTTTCCCGTAGGGGGTTTGTTTTCAGTTTTATGTATCAAGGTTAAATTGTATTTCCAGGTTATGTTTTTGGCTGTGTATTATTTTCAGATTAATAAAATTCATGGGCACTCTTTTCCTCCTTCATATGTCCTTCATGTTACTGTTGCAACATGAAAGGTCTGAAGGGGGTTTTTAATGAGACCTAATCTTCTATCAAAAAAAATCAAACATAAATCATGTTCAGTCAAGTAGTTCTTTTTCCATTGAATTTAATGATTTGTTCAAATGCATAATATTCCCGTGTTATTTTCTGTTTCTACTACTATCTTCTAAAAAGAAATAAAAGAAACAATGAAAAAATTTCAAGTCTAATAAAACCACATATCATAACCATTATTCATAACAAAATACTAATTAATGTCAGAAAGAAGACCAGTACTTACATTGCCTGTACAGAGTTCTGCCAAAATGCAGCCAAGTGACCAGATATCTATCTTCTTACCATACGCAAGTCCTAGGATAACCTCTGGAGCACGATAGGACCTAGATTGAACATAGGAGCATAAATGATCTGTCTCAAAACAACTGCTCCCAAGATCAATGACCTTCACCTCACATCTACTATAGCTTTTTACTAATATATTTTCAGGCTTTAGATCACAATGTATTAGACCAAGGCCGTGCAAAAATTGGAGAGCCTCCAAACACTGAATGGTAATAGACTGCAAAGAAGAATTTTAAGAGAGGGTTAAATGATGGTAAGACAGATTAGATGCTCTTCTGAAGAAAACAGCTTTCAAAACCTGCAATCTTGGCATTGTGAAGTAAACTTCTCCACCTGATTCCTTATTAAATTTATGAAATTCATATAAGTTTGCCTTGAGAAGTTCACAGACTATAAGCAAATGCTCCTGGAAAATAAAGAACAGTCAGCTGCTACTCAATTCAACAAGCATTCTTGTTCATATAAAAGACACTAAGATGCATTAGCCCAAAGATAATAATTTTCAACAACAGAGAAGCATTTATAGATTTGTTTTTAAAAAAAAACTCCAGCATTAGATGCATGTATCAATAGAGACATGCAAGAAATAGGACTAGAGTACAAATACAATGCACTTGCAAACATTTAACCAATGGTAAAAGAATATAAATAAATGAAACATAAAATAATAAGAAAAGAAAACATCCAGTATCTAGGAACATTAAGAAGCATGAACAAGGAATAAGACAGTTATTGGACAGCATTCCCTTACTCTGTAGTAAAAGTAATCATACAATCGGAGAATGTGATGCTTATCAGCAGGATCATGTTTGTTAACATACTTGAGAAGCTTAATTTCATCAAGGCTTTGGTCAAAAAAATCCTTGTTGTTCTTTATAATTTTCACACAGACATCCATTCCTGTGTGCAGGTCATGTGCTTGTATAGCTTTGCTAAAAGCAGCTGATCCAAGGTACTCGGTCACATGATAATGCCCAGCTATAACAGAATTCAAAACAACATGGAAATTTTTGTCCTCCTCAAATCCAGTTCTGAAAAGCAAAAAGAGGGCTTGTCTAAGGAAGTATGTTTGTAAGAGCAATATAGCTAATAACAACACAAAAACTCAGAGTATAAATTATACTAGAGAAATATACACATCAGCACAAATTTGAAATTTGTTAGCACCAGCATAATACTATACTAGAAGTACAATTTGTTTCAAAGATCAGACATGCCTGTTTTTCCTATGCACAATCTTCAGGTTGAAGGTCTCAAATTCCTCCTCCTGTGCTTTAATTTGTCTCACCTGCTCTTGGACAGCAGCAACCTCTTCATCCTCAAGTGACACCCCAGGATCTTCTTCTCTCATACCACTAGTGTTCCCTGCCTCTTTTTTCTTCATCTGCTCTTGCTCACCATAACAATAATTAGAGAGAGTAGAAAGACTAGAATTTGCAGATCTTACAGCATTGGCATTGTTTCCATCCCTAGAACTTTTTCCGGTTGAAGAATCACTGCTTTTTCGTCTCCATGTTGTAAGCATATCATCAGGCCCCATCAAAGCACTCAAACAGTCATCATGTTCATCACCAGCAGCATTGCAGTTACTTGACCATAGAGACTTACTAGAACCTGCAGGCACCAACTGCCCATCTCTTAGGGGTGGTGGAAAAGAAAAACCCCTACCTGTAAGATTTTTCAGCTGGCAAGTTGGACCTTTATCATTCCCAGTAACATACTTACTGGGATCATTTTTTCCAATTTTCCTTTTATCCCCAACTGCTTTATCAATAATTTTCCTGTCTGTCCCATTATGACTTTGTCTAGACCCTCCAATAGCAATATCGTGATCATGAAAATATTCAAAATCCCCTTCACTACTTCCTCCAATTAAACTTCCACGTACTTCACTGCCAATATCAGCAGCATCACTGTTGATTCCTACACCAATAGACCTTACCGAACCATGCTGATCATCATCTATACATATATCATCCAGCCGAGATCTCCCACACTCATTAAGAACTTTCCCATCCTCTAGCATGATAAGGTCATTTGTCTGTGTGACAAATCCCTGCCAAACAGGTTCAGCACGCATCAAATTAAGCTCCTCTTTATCCATTAACTGCCCATCATATCGGGCTATTAAATCATTCTCATGTGTCCTGCTATACACTCCAGTTCCAGACAGCCCTTCAACATTATTTGCCTGGATATAATGTTCACCAGAGAAGTAAGACTCCTCTGCAAATGATTGATTGTCACCTTCATCCTTGGTTTGACTTCTTACCTGTGGATCAGGAACACTGGCAAGCCCAGTTCCCTTCTCATTGTCACTAGGATAATCAATTTCATGAGCCAGAAACCAGGCTTCGTCCTCGATAGGTTGCCTCATGTAACCAAAATCATCATCATCGTCATATTCATCAGAATCCCAATACTCGTTTACATAATCAACAGATTCACTCAATCCATCACCAATAGTAGCAAAACCAGAAACCAGATCAGATGCATCTTCCGCAATGCCCTGACTCACAGAAAACCAACTACCTCCACCATTCCGTTTTCCACCTGGATCATCATAAAAAATATTTACAAGCTCTACACAGCAGAATTAAAAGAGAAATAACTGATCTAAATAAAAGCATCATTCATAGTTATGAACTTTAGATTCAGCGTCAGGCAGAAAACTTTCCATCCTACCCTAGGGAACCAGAGTGATAGAATTTGAATCCCTTATATTTTTATTGAAGTATAAAGTTAAAAAGCTTAAGAGTGAAAAATCATTTAGACATTGAAGAAGAGATAACCACTTCAACCATTTCCAGTTCAAAGCTAGAGAACAAGTGCATTTATTATGTGTGTTTTTATAAAATGCCTTTCCAAATTAGTTTACTAATTTCTTATGAACTCACAGTGTCTAAAAGCACCTGAAATGTCATTGAAAATCCATTTTGAGGCCCAAATAATATGTGATCTAATAAGGATATGATTAGTTCGAATCATTTTAACTGATCATTAAGGCTTCAAATATTTCTGGCAGATTTGGAAAAACTGAGGGTAGCTTTAGGGTCTACTTAGATATTGAGTTGTAGTAACATACCATGAGATTTAAAACAGGCAGCAAATGAGTATCATTACAAAAACCTCAAGAAACAAGGGGTAGTGTGCTTCATTGCTAAAAGGTATAAAAATTGTTCCTAGGAGTTCAGTCAAGTCAAGCTACTCATCAGCTATCATCAGCTACCGAGCCTTCACTCAAGGAATATACAAGCTCATTCAATTGTGAAGATAAGCTTGAGCTTTTAATACTGAAATTTTAACCTTGAGCCTAATCAAACTTTCGCACTTTTAAATATTTTCTTATACTTTAAATAAGTAAAGTATAATAATATTTAAAAGTTAGAAAAAGCTCAAGTCTTAAATTTGTTTCAAACTTCTTACATGACCGATGATAATAAAATTCATCAATCTCAAATCAAACTAAAGCATAAGGAAAACAGAGCTACATCAGCTTTGAACTGCCAGTTTGAATAGTACAAACTCTACCCACGAGTTGAATGTACAAACCTAACCCACCAAATAGTTCTGTTACCTTCACTGCGAGAAATTAGACTATCATTAACAGGCGTGTTTTAGTGAGAGAAGCTCCAGCTTCTCTCTAACCTAGGTGTTTACAATTTTCAAATTTCTTATTTCCACGAGCCACGGCGTCTCTCCTCCGACATCCACCAATCGTCCGCAGTTGTCGTCCGCCACCCGCCGCTGTCGTCAGCCGTCCTCCGCCACAATACGACCTCCGTTTTGAAGCCGTTTTTTACTGGGTAATTCGTCGGCTCAAGGTGTTTCTTTTTCTGGGCTTGTTTTTCCGAGTAAGACTCTTATTTGACGATGATCTACAAGCCGCTCACGGCCGTTTTCGCCTCCATCCGTTGCACGTTCGCTGGACATCGCATCTCCACCGTGTTCAGAGCCTTTTTGCGATCAATACCCATTTACTTAGTGTCGAGATTAGTTGCATCTCTCCATTATTTTGCACTGAGCAGTTTCGGCAAGATCAGGCGCTCGCTACTTCTATCTTTCTGCTTGACTCTTTTGGTGGATTTCTTCCGTCACTGCTATTGAAGCTTTGAGCTCTTGTTCTGGAACTTTATTTCCAGGGGTGATTCGTAGACTCAGTTTACTTCTTCTAGCCGGATGTATTAAAAGACAGAAGCTCATGCTTCTATCTTGTTTATAGATCTTTTCTCTGTTTTCTGGTTTTCGTAGCCATCCGTCGCTTCTCCTTCGCAGGGCGTGCGTCCAGATTAGTTCGTCAAATATCTGGGTTTTTCATTTCAATAGTCTTTATCACATGCCGGGTGCTGGAGTCCTCCTTTCTCTCCAACAGAGTCCTTCGGTCTAAGTTCCTCCAACCACTGCAGCAGCGCATTCTCTGTCATCTAACCCTTCTCATCATGATGAGGTTCGCACTATCTTCATTATGGGTCTGCCTGAAGATATCAAAGAGAGAGAGCTGCAGAATTTTCTGAGATAGCTTCCGGGTTTTAAAGATTCGCATTTGAGCTTCAAGGGAGATAAGCCCAAGGGCTTCGCTCTCTTCTCAACTGTAAATTTTGCAATCGCTGCTAAGGATGTCCTTCAGAAAATGGTTTTTGACGTTAAATTGAGGTCCCTTTTACACATTGAGATGGCAAGGAAGAATCTTGTTGTTAAAAGAGGATTAGTTACAAATTCTTTTGCATTTGACAAGGATGGAGGTTTTCCTGTTCCTCCAGTTCTGCCATTGCCAATTCCAGCTTCTGTAGCATCTCCTAGTGTTCAGGTGCCTATTAAAGCGGTGTGTTGTGATGGTAAATCTGCTGTTAATGGTGTACAAGAAGGATCCAGGGAGTCAATCACAAAGGGGGGCAGTGTTGACAAGTCTGGATGTTTCACGTTATTTGTTGAACATTTACCAAAGAAGATCCATTGGAAGAGGTTTGGATCTTTATTTTGCTCTCATGGTCGGGTACTTGATGCTTTTATTCCTAATAAAAGGAATTTAAAAGGAGATCGTTTTGGTTTTATTCACTTCGCATCATTCGAAGAAGCGAGGAGAACGATCTCACAAGTATCGACGGTAGCAAAATTGGTGTTTCTTTCGCTAAATTCAAACCTCGAAATTCCTATTGGAGAAAGTCTTCGACAAATGTTCTTCACAAGTCCGGGATGGAAGATAATTCCAGGAAGAATCATTATAAAGTTGAAGGTGTTATAGATGAAGAAAAACTTCAGGTGTTGAGCAATTGTCTAGTGGGGTGGTGTAAGGATTTTGTCAAAATTGGTCATCTCGCTAGACAAATGCAAGCGAAGGGCCTCACTGGCTTCACCTTAATGAGAGCTGCTGGAAATGCGATTTTAATGCTTTTCGAAGATAATGCTTCATTAAGAAGTGTGAAAAACGACAAATCAAAGATTCTTGCAGAGTGGTTCTCCATTGTCGAAGTTTGGTCAGAGAGTTTGGTAATGGAGTGTCGTCGAGTATGGTTAGTTTGCGAGGGTGTTCCTTTTCACGCGTGAAATTGGGATACTTTCAAGAACATTACGGATAAGTGGGGTCTTTTACTAGCTATCGACAAAAGTTGTCAGTCTCCATCATCCTTTGATCGGGCAAAAATTCAAGTCCTCACAAAGGCTGATGCGAGAATTGATGCGATGGTTGAATTGAAGGTTGGTGACAACTTCTTCAAGGTCATGGTGCATGAGATAGAGCCTTCATTCAAACCGAATTCTTGGGCTCCTAAAGAAGACGAGTCTCTTTAGATCTTGTCTCTTCATTCGTGGTGGTTTTGTTTTAGTCTATATGATTGTAGGTGTTGCTTTTATTTGTATTATGTTTTGTGGCGTTGTTTTAGTCCTACTGCTGGTGGTGTAATTAGAAGTATGGTGATTTGATTGTGGCTTTTGATGAGGGTATTTGAGGTTTAGGTGTTTGTTGTAATGGGGTATATCACCATGAGAGGATATTCCGTGGTGTCTTTTGTATCAGGTATTATTATTAATAAAATATGAGGTACTCTTTTCTTCCTTCCAATGTTCGTTAACATACTTTTAGTAGGGGAACGAATATGAAGGGAGTTTTTAATGAGACCTCCAACTTCTATAAAAAAAAAAGAAATTAGACTATCATTCCCTTAATGTGCTACAGCAAATAACTATATTTTTATGGCTGTCCAAAAGATTTAATATTCAAGTTAGAAGTTCTATTTTGTGGAGTGGAATATAAGAGAAAGAAAGAAGATTAACCGCAATGTCATTCACCATAAATAGTTACACTAGGCACTAGCAAGGCTACTTGACATCAAATTTGAATTTACCTTTTACAGCAAAGAATCTTAGAAAATTAGCAAGTGCATCATTAGAGAAATACTCCAAATACAGTTACTCTTGAACTACTATCAACTGTCAAATAATATATCTATTCTCTAAATAAATTGATAGTTTCTGTCAGGTATGAAACATGAGTTTGTCATTTTCCTGTTGGAATACTTATGTAGGTCCTTAAAGATCATTTTCAGAAGTTGGGATGATGAGTTGAGAATTGAAAATAGTTGGATTAAACCTCTCCTTAAGTACCTCTTAGCAAAACACAAGTGAGAAGAAATTTAAATTTTTTTTGTTCACCGAAAAATTAACATTGTTTTTCTGGTTTCTAAACCAAATTTTACTCAGTGGAGTTGATATGAAGCCAGGTATAAATAGAGAAGTAAAAGATAAAGGAAAATGAATGTATAGCATGAAGAAATCTTACCCTAAAGGTAACAAATATTTAAATAACACGGTGGAGTGTTTTAATTTCGACAAATTGCCAGATCGAATCTTTTCAAGTTAAGAAAGATTTTTCCACAACAAATTAGACATGTCTGTAAGGTCTAGAGTCTAGACAATGCATATGTATACCCACAGACATACAAAATACACAGATATCTAACAAGCGTGTATAATAAACTGAAAAGGAAAAAGTAGGAAAACACAATCATCAAAACCACTGCAAGTTATATTAACCAACCTGAAGAGCTTATCTCTTGCCCAATGGGAACATCCAGATAGGACCCAATAAGGAATGCACTGTCAGCACCAGTGAGCTTTGCACCAGGGACATCAGGCTCATATTTTTCCTCCCAATTGACATTCAATGACTTCTCCTCCGACTTGAGTTTAACTGGTGGCAACCTAGGTAACTTTTCCTTTGGATTTTCTGATGCAAGAGGGAAGGCCAACTCCTTTATACCCATTTGCTCAGCAGTGCCTTGAGACTTCCCAAAGAATAGAGCCCTTTCAACCTCATCCACCTGTTCTTTAATTGCTGCCCTAACATCAAGGTCATATGCTGCCCTAAAATCAAGGTCATATGCTTTCTTTTTTCCTTCTCTCTTATCTGAAGTATTAGCAGCATCATATCTAATAGACACATCCCCCTCGGGGAACGGTAAAACAGTCTTCACAGAACAATCTTTCCATATATCTGAAAACGAACTAGTGGGTTCCTCAATTCTAGACCATTTGCTATTATCAGCAAAGTTATCCTTCAAGTATACACTGTTCATCTTAAATTGTTGATCGAGCTCCTTACTTTCACTGGTATAAAGCTTGTCAGAAGTGGAACCTACATTAGCTTTGCTAGTATTTCCAAGCCATGAACTTTTAATTTCACCCAAAAACATAATCTCTTCTCCAGATTTAACACTTTTTTCTGTTTCAGGAGCTTCAGCTGTACAATATGTTGACCGATCTTGTTTCTCTAGCTCCGGAAAGCTAGAACTACTACTAAAACCACCATTTTTGTATAGATCAGAACCATTGATAGTATTGAAGTTCCTTGACTGCAAATTAAGTACATTCTCCTCTGAATTTTTAGAGAAAGTGAAACTCTTATCACTTATCACTTTAGCTTCATTAGGTTTTTTATGCTCCTCAGTAGAAGCAGCATTTCTATATTTGCTTTCAGACCCATTTCTGCCAGCCCCACACTCTATCTCTTTTATTATAAGTTCCTTAGACACCTCACCACTGTTTCGAGAACCTGAACCATGACTTAAGTTCACTGTTTTTTCCCCCTTTTCTTCTCCTAGAACCTTGCTAGAGTCCTTTCCTTCAAGGGTAAGTTTCTGAAGGAATCCATTCAAATCAGGGCGGTTACCAAGCTCAATACGCAAAGCTGCCTCAGCTCTAGTAAAGTGATTTCTCCTCAGAAAGTCCAAAATCACATCTACTGAGCTTGATTCTGTCATTATGAAGTGCTATAGATCTAGACACAGCACTAGAAGCAATAAATTACAGAACCTGAAAGTATTCAAACAAAAGATACAAACAGTTCATATATGTTAACTCAAGAAAAAATTGAACAAAAATGTCAGCTTTGAATGCTTTTTTCGCATTATAGGAACAAGCTTTGCAGAAGAAAACCAAGAAGTGTTGAAAAAATTCAGTTTTCTCCATCTCCTTCAGATTCAAATATAAGAAAAAGTTACCAAAACTAAAAGACAGAACCGGAAAACTTATAGCAGTTTTGTTTCTTATTTGGCTGTCAGGCGGAATTTGATTTATCTTTTATTTCCTTTTATGGTAATAGCCAACTCCTAGTAATAATAACTTAATCAATGTTAAATAATATTTGCAATTCCATGCAAACAAAGCTACGACTGTCAGAAAACTTGAAAATAAAGGGCAATGGTGATTGTTTTCTTAACTGCGTTACCTGCTTGTTTTAACTTCAATTGCTAAGAAAGTATAAACCCGAATCCCACGTTTCTCATTCCATTTTTTTCTTACTGCTAAACAGTAATGTTTTCCTTTTCCCCTCTAAAAACTCTCCCTCTAATTTCGAAAAACAATCATAACATTGATACATTTCCCAGACCTAGAGAAATTCCTAATCCCGTGAATCAAAAATCGAATAACGACGCGATCCAGAGCTCCAACCAAAAACCCTATAAATTTACCAGACAACCATGCAAAAACTGAGATTCAAACTTTAATTGGTCGGACAAACCTGGAAAAGATTCGAAAAACCCAAAAAAATAAAATAAAAAAGAACAAAGAACTTACAGATCGATGATGATGATGAAGAAGAAGAAGGGCAACCATGCCGATCTTTGTTGTTGGCTTTGGATTCCATGGCCCTATTATACATTAAACCTTCAAATGCCTGAAAAATTACAACGGGTTTTTCTTCAAGTCTGCCTTGCCTTTTTTTCGTTGCTCTCTCTTCAGCTTGGATTTTCTTCTCTCTCTCCCTTCCTGGGGGATTATTGAACTCTTGGTTTTGGCCTGCAATTTTTCTCGAGCCTGCCATGGCATGTAAGAGCACAAATTATTAAGGGTGAAATACATTAGAGCTCTCTAAACCATTCTAACATGATCACTTTAGTCACTATATTTTCAAAGGATATAAAATAATCACTAAATTTATCGAACTATTATAAAATAATAACTTAAATGTTATTGTAATTATATTTCATAATTTTTGAAAGTTTAGTGATTAAAATAGTCATTTAAATATAGTTCAATGAATTTGGTGTATTTTACCCAAGTTTTAAATGAAATCAAAAAATCGATAATAATAACTAAATAAATAAGGGTAAAAATAAACAAATGGTCATTCGATCATAGGATAAATCCTTCGGCTATTAAAATTTAAGAAAAATTTCTTGATTATAAGGCATTACTTTATTGAGTCTCTCAATAATTAAAAGTTATAAAATGATCACTCGACTATTTATGTGTTCTAAACTCATCATTTTTCGTTAAAAATTTGACAGTCGTCTGAGTTTGACGTTAACATATTGATTGTAATATGATAATCGTTTGAGATCCTAAAATCATATTTGATCATATCCAGTTCAGATTGTCGTCAAATTTTTTTACAAAAAAGAATGAGTTTAGGACATATAAATAGTCATGTGATAATTTTATAACTTGTAATAATTGAAGATTCAATAAAATAATATCTTATAATTTAAAAATTATTTTGTAATTCTTAATAGTCGAAAAATATCACTATGTAATCGAGAGAATATTTGTGTGTACTTGATCTAATAAATAAATAATGATATAAGGGTAGCATATGCCTTCGTTGCTTTACCGAGCTGACATTGTCCTGTTCACGATCCCATAATATGGAAATTATATCGTAAGGCAACATTAATATACAGTTAAATAAAGATATTATCAGAAATTTTATTATTTTTTTAATATTTTCGGTAAAAAATTACCTAAAACATTATTTTTTTTACTTAAAATATTAATGTTTTTAAACATTTATGATAAAGTGTCTAATATTAACATCCAGTTGAAAAAATAATGTTTTAAGTAGCGGTTTACTAGATATGTTAACAAACCCGGTAAAACGTTCAATAATAACATTTTTGATATAAATAATAATGTTTTAGATAAATTTTTATTAAAAATATTAAAAAATTATAACATTTCCGGTAACGTATTTTCTTAACCGCATATTGGGCTGTTTCACATTAGACTTCCCCATAGCTTCGGTTTAAACAGAGTTTCATACTTTAAATTTATCACAGGTTTTTTTTTATTTTTTAAATTGGTTCAACCTTTTTTTCCTACGTGGAAAATAGGATGGAAAAAGACAAATTTACCCTTCCAGTGATGTATTGTCCATTGGAGCTCACAGTTCCAAAAGCAAAAGTCAACAAACTAATTATCACCGGCTTACATGAAATTCCCCATCTCCATGCCTCAGCTTATAAGTTTATCCAACCGATTTCGAATCGTCAACCAAGCAATTACCGAGTTCTTTGATATGTGCAAAGGATACTTTTTATTAGCTGATTATATTGTACTTTATTCTTATATTATTTCAGATCTTAATAATAACTTGATCATTAAAAACAAACGTAAAATTTTATGGTAGAAATGCGATCGCCTCCTTCTCTCGTTCTATTCCTGCTGATCACCAATAGTTTTAGCACAATCATTTGGGTGTGTATCGGAGAATAAAATTTACTTTATAGGAGCAATTCCCTTATGCTAACACAAAATTGATTTATACACAACACCATAAAACTTTTCCTATTGTTATTTATTTTAATAATTAAACTGTTAAATTTCATATTCTGTTTATTCATATTTAATTTTAAATAAATTAAAAAAACTAATTAACTATTTATTTTACTTAAAATAACTTTTCATCTATTAAATTACATTAACAAAAGTATCAATATGTCTTTAATATACGATTATATATATATCTAATCCAAAAATTAAAACTACTTTGAGTGGAACCCTACACTAATTGCAACTTGAAGTTAATAAGACCAAGATCAACTAAAAGACAAGCTATATTAAATAAAGAGTAAAGTTAAAGAAATGTTTATTAAATTATTTTAAAATATTTTTTATTAAATTTTTAAAATGAAATTTATATTTTTAATATTATTATAAAATGAGTATGGTACGGTCAAACATTATAAAAATGATATGATATATTAAATTAATGAGTAATATATACAGGTTGTAATTAAAATTTTATTTTGATATTTTCAATATTTTTATAGAATAATTTTGAAGAAATAGTTAAAAAATATATGAAAAATAATAGTTTTTAAATAATTATTTTATACTTTCTTATCCGTTTTATAAAACATATACAAAATGGTGTCATAATCGATGGCCGCACTCATCATCCCCAATTGCGCTCCGACATTCACGCTTATTTTTGTTTTATTTTAGGGTAAACTAAATACTTAGTAACTTGATTAGTACTTTGATTCCATTTTGATCATTAAACTATTATTTTTTTAAATCATTCATAAAATTATGTTTGTATTTCATTTTGATCACTCATTATTACAAAAATAATAAAATTAATCTATTACCATAAGTTAATGTCATGTCATCATTTTTAAACAAATATTATGTTTATTATCCAAGAAACAGTTAATAAGGCAACAACAAAAAAAAAGAGCCCCTAAAGGAGAATTCTTGACCTATTACAAAGACCCTTGTTTACATCATCAACAAAATCAATAGCTCTATCATTGAGATTTATTTTAAGAGTGTGTTTGGTTCACGGATTGTAAGATTATCAGTGGGAATGTAAAATTATTAGGGAATAGGATTACTGAGAATGTTGTATTTTGTGTTTGGTTACTTTAGCAAGAATGCAAGATTACCGTGTTTGGTTAAAGGAATAAAAGATTATTGAAATGTATATTTAACCAAATGTCCTTATAATATATTTGTTTTTTTAACAAATTGGAAAATATTTATATATTTTCTTTAAAAAAATTAAATTCATAAAATTTATATATATTTTTTACAAAATTGAAAATATAAAAAGGTTTAATGAAAGGGTAAAATTTTATTTTAACCCCTGAACTTCATATAAAATTTTAATTATAGATTTTTTTTGTAAATCTAAAATAGCTTAAGGATAAATTTATAATTTAACCTTCGTAGAATTTTTATTATTCAATGACAGAAGAATGATATTTTTGAAAAAAAAAATTAATGGTATTTTAGTCCAAAACGCCGGTAATCCAATAATACTTAAGGAAAGGGAGGTAATGACATTCCCGGTAATATACTCCAAAAAATCTACTATTGATAATAAAACATTCCCGGTAATATACTCCAAAAAATCTACTATTAATAATAAAACATTACCGGAAATGAGATTCTCGGCCAACCAAATATGAGAATGTGAATTTCATTCCTATGGAAACCCACATTCCTTGATCCAAATACCCCCTAAGAATTTCCCTAATAATGCTCTAGTCTACTGTTTCTTTTTTCCTTTCCAAATACAATAAATAAAAGTATTCATGCCCATCCTTCCTAAGAATAATAGAAATCAAGGATTTACCTCGGAGGTACAAAATAGCTCATTCCAGCTCCTCATCCCAGCTTCGAGCTCCGCTGAACAGATTATAAAAGTTTAAAATGGCCTTCCATATACCTTTGGAGAAGAGACATTCAGAAAACAGATGAGCTCTCGTCTCCGGGACATCATTACAAATCAAACACTTCCCATCGACAACAAGACCCATTTGCAACTAATGATCTTCAGTAAGAAGCCTCCCAAGGATCGCTATCCATCCAATGATAGCATGTTTTGGATATGGAAAGAAAACCATAGAATCCTTTGTCACAGGATCTTGTCCCCAACATAACGAATGATCATTGGAAAAAATAAGAAAAATTATAATATCAATAGTTCTGTTTATTTTTGAGATGATCAAAACATAATTAAAATGTCGACTTTCAGCGTTCCACCTGTTCTTACCTCACCTAGAGACGATGCAATTCAGCTTAACCGTGATTTCAAGGGTATATTTTCTCTCTGTTGACTCTAGTTGTAGTTGTGTGGTGCGTCAATTTAGCCATGTTTAGTGAACCCTGACTTTGGTTTCATGTTTTCAGTAATCCATCTTCCCTACCAAATCAAAATTCTCAATGGGTCACCTTTGGACTTTCCATTGTCAACAAAGTCATTTGTTTCACTGTTTTAGGCTCTTCTCATCTTTTTTGTAAAATTTACTTGTTTAAGATGAAAAACTGAATGATCTTTTCTTGAAGAAAAAAAAAACCTCAAGATTTTACCTCTTTGGAGGTGACAAGAAACAAAAGTTTCAATTTTTTTCACAATCACCCGATTACTGATCCATTAGCCATTATGCTGATTAATTTGGATTACCTACTACAAAATTAATAATGAGCGACACTCCTAACTTAGTTTGTTACATTCACGATATCAGTATTTGAATACTAAATGTTGTTTAAGCCTTAAAGCATACTCGTAATTGATAGAAAAGATCAATTTCTGTTTGGAGATATTATGTTTGTATCACCATTGGTTTTTAGGGTTTGTATTTGATAAACTTTGAGTGTAAGCAACCAATCATACCATGACACCTAATTAAAAGAATTTATTATAAATACCAATAATTAAAATTTTATAACGGGAAGCATCATATAGTGTTTCTTGGGGCCAGACAAGCATAACGTAGTTTACTGTTACAGTAAATGGTTGTCCCTTTTTCCCATATGTATGGGGTAAGGGGGAGGTAAGATAGTAGGCTACCCCCAACACCAGGTTGAGAGCAGCTTCCGTAAGAGACCTCCGAATTATGAAATGCCCTCCGTGGGACTCGATCCCACGACCTCAAGGTTAAGAACCTTGTGCTCTACCAACTGAGCTGGATGGTCATTTTAAAAATGTTTTATATATATATTTCTCGTTTTAAAAAAAATTAAAGTTTATTTGTAACATTAAGCTGTATGATTTATTGAAACATGTTGATTGCATACATTGTTTATCCTTGACGAAGGTTACCATTTGATAACTAAGTTTAATGGTTCTTTCATCTTTTTATGGACTGTTGAATTTGCTGTCTTATTGCGGAAAATTTTGTAATGGTAATGCTTTACTTTTCTTAATTGATGCTATGTTGTGGCATTACTTTTCAACTGCTTTTCAATGTGGAAAGCATCAGTAGAGGCTACTGGATAAAGATTTTATGGTAAAAATAATTTATTCTTAGAAGAAATGGTTAAAAGAAGGCTTCTTTACATTCTTTCTTTTTTTTCTTTCTATAGGACTGGGATGCGATACTGCAACGGTGGTCAATATTCTTTCCCATCGCGATGCAGCATAGCGTTCTTTCATCCAACACAAGTATAAAGCAATGTATTCCGAAGACCTTCTCAAACGACTGGTGTCAGAGCTTGGTGGAAAATTAGAGGTACCTCTCATCATATTATTTCTCGAATATTTTGATTTACAGAATCTCCATTCAAAGATAACGTCAATACTCTGAGGATTTTATAAAGTTATAAGAAAATTTAGGTTTTCAGTTATGTGTCTCTATATATATTAGCATGCATGTTGAAGTTTTACCTTATAATCTCATCTTTGGTATTTTTTCAGAGAGCTGTCTTACTATGGATGCATGATCCAGCAGAACGCGATGCAACAGTCATTAGGCAGGCATTCTTATCGGATATAACAAATCTTTCTGCTGCAACTGAAGTTATATGTTCTCGTACTCCATCCCAGATTCAATTAATCAAACAAAATTACCATTCAAAGTTCGGGATTGTGCTTGAGCAAGATGTTGCAGCACACACCTCTGGTGATCACCAAAAAGAATATTTTCCAGAATTTTGTTTTAATATGATCCTTTTCAAACATGGTTCATATGATCCGAACCTCTTAAGTAGATATCTTGTATCTTAGGGGGGAAATTTAAAGCCGGAGATATTGTTATTTACAACTTTGTACAGCTCTTGCTTGCATATCTGAGCACCCACCGTTCTGAAGGCCTTGAAGTTGATAGAGAGAAGGCTATGAAGGATGCAAAGGCTCTTTTTAAAGCAGGAGAGAAGAAATTGGGAACCGATGAGAAAACTTTTATCTGCGTATTCAGCGAAAGAAGCAGGGCACAGCTAGCGACAATTAGCGCTGCTTATCACGACATGTACGGAGGTTCCTTGAAAAAGGTACATCTATCTTCTCATCTCTTTTATTCGAAGTTTTCTCGTGATGAATAATCAAATTAATTTTCTTTTCTTTTTTTCCTTCAGGCAGTGAAGAGTGAAACATCTGGGAAGTTTGAGCATGGTCTCTTGACAATTTTAAAGTGCCCACAGAATCCTGCAAAGTATTTTGCTAAGGTATATAGTTTTTTATCCTTAAGAAGCTTAATAGCTTCTGTTTCCATTGCTGCATTTTGATTATATTGTTGGAATATTCACTTTGGGATATTATGTAGGTACTGCATGACGCGATGAAAGGTCTGAGAACCGATGACAGTACAGTTATAAGGGTAATCGTGACAAGAACCGAGATCGATATGCACTATATAAAAGCCGAGTATTTGAGGAAATATAAAAAGACTTTGAACGATGCAATTCACTCGGGAACATCAGGCCATTACAGGACTTTTCTTCTTTCTCTTCTGGGATCAAATCATTAGTGTTAAAGGGTGTGAATAATGGCTGGCATATAGACGTGAAATTTATGTACTTGGGACTAATGGAAGAACCAAAACACCAGATAGGTGATGAATGTTGTTTCAGTGTCTGATTGTATTTGTCAAATATTTGTAAAATGTGAGTGCTTACTGAGTAACCCTAGACTCGGCCTGGACGTTATGACCAAATCTAGGCAATCACATATCGTATTTAGAAGTTCTTTTCATATTTAAAATAGTGTTGAAATCTATATATCAGTATAATATGAAACTACCATCAATGAAATTCATATGATAAATATATATATACATATATCGGAAAAAACCGTATAAAACATATACAAAACAAAATATTGGTAATGCAGATATATCAAAATAGTAGCAAAAACATGTCATTAAAGTATAACAAAAAGGGCATATAGAGATATACAGTGGTACACAAAAATGAGGAGTAGTCGATCCTCTTGATGCCAAGTCTATTAGTCTATTGTCTGCTACTATCTGAAAATGTTAAAATTTACAGAATGGGCTAAAAAACTCAGTGTGCTCCTTGCAGTATATAAAAACATACAAATAAAATGTTTCAGTAAAAATCAGTTCATCAAACATGTTTAAAAAATATGAACATTACCCCTATTCGATCACCAGAATGTGTAGGTTCCCCAGAAACATACACCCACTTGTACACCCAATAAGTGCCTTATACATATAGCATAAGGACCTGCGGTAAGGACTTACCCTGTGCACAAAGCAGAGGAGCATGCGGTAAGGTCTTACAAGTCATAGACTAGACTTGAGATACTTCCTCCAGATGTATGTATTCGAGTGAAAACTGTAGTTTAATCCATTAAAACATGAAAATATTCCATATTTAGAAATATACATTAAATTAGATATCAGATAAACAATATTCAAAAAATCATGTATCATATGGTAAAAATATTCAGTATCGACGAAAATCTAAAACGGTTCAAATAGTTAGTTTAAAACAGTAATGTAACACCATCAGGAAACACACCTGTGCCGGTCTGAGTACTCTGATAAGGAAGCCTGCTATTGGGTATGCTGATCACGATCAGCGGCAGCGCTAGATCCTAGAAAATCCATATCAAAATCCTAATATCAATAATAATAATCTATATTTAAACAATTTACGGAAACCTACGAGTAACTCTCGAAGAAAACAGATCGTGCGAATCTGATGGAAGGGAAGCACCGGATCTAATCGACCCTAGATCGGAGGAAATACAAGTACCTTCATAAAAATATACACCCGAATCAATTTCATAATCAAATCTCAAATAAATACGCAAAAATGCTAAAAAAATATTAAACATTTTCATATTAACGGGCTCAATTCAGGACTTTTGGGTCAGAATTTGTCAAAACATGTAACACCCCCAACCCGTACCCGACCCGGATACGAGTCCGATGTGTCACATTGACTTTTCAAACTTTGACTCTTGACAAAATTCAAAGAAAATTTAAAACTTTAATTAAAGTAAAAGCAGTTTATTTACGTAACTTGACCACAATAACTAAAATTAATCAGAGCATATTAACTCAATCCTTTAGTACTTGCCAATTATATTCAAAATAAACAAAATCATTTAAATCATCTATTTTTTGATCTGAAATTTGTAAGGGAGATGCTGACCTGTCTTGCTCTCTTAGCTTTTCTTCTAGCTTTCCGGAACCTACGTGTGAAACACTCACACGCTAAGTCGATGACTTAGTGAGACAAATAAAACTTATAATGCACTTAATAACATTTAACAATGCATGCATGTTTCATTCTATCATGCTATACTAAACCACCTTATTTCATCATAGCATACAAAATCATATCAGATTACTTAACAAAATATACCTACATACACATAAAGCATCATTAACAGTTTATCTTTTAATCACATACTTTTATACTTAAACCCCTTAATCAAACAATATACACACACACATCATATTATTTCTACAACATTTATCATATCACAAACATATATTTGTTGTTATTATCTCATGATTAGCCCATGGACATATGTGAGAACTATAGGTATGTGAGTCTATAGAGGTTGTGCACTAATGCTGTCACCACAGCTCGTATAATTGCACCGAAGTGCCGTGTAGAATTTGCATCGTAGTGCCATATAAGATTGTCCATAAGGACCACATATAAATTCCTTAAGAACAATATACATATACCAAGGATCAAGTAAGTGTCTCAAAAGACCTCATACATGCTCCAAATAATACATATACGTCCCGAAGGACCACGTAGAAAATTCCTTAAGAATCATATACATATGCTAAGGACCAAATACGTGTCGCAAAGAACCTCATAGATGTTCCATAGGATACCTATATGTCCCGACCGCGTAGACCCTCGACTCTTGGCATGCCAACTATACCCCAAAGCTCTCAAGACACATAACATGGGCACTATCTTTTATATCCTTGCACATATTCATGTAAACATATCACATATTCATATAAGCTCGTAGCTGCATTCACACATACATGTAATCACGTAGTTCATGTCAATTATCATATGATTTCATATTCATATAATCACGTAATTCACTTACACATAGCACATTTTCATGTAATTCACAGATATCCCTTAGCTTATATCTCTTGATCATTTAATTACAACTTCTTATCACATATCTCATAGTCATGTTTTCATATATTCATTTCATCACACAGGCTCATAGTTTCTGGTCATATTATTCACATTCTCTGACTTATCTCTTATGATCTGGTAATCACTACACTTATTTTATATAACTTATTACCGAATAATTCACATATAAACATTTATATCACTTTCACATAGCTTATATAAGTTTCCTGAATCCTTTCATATTACCTGCTAACATATATCATATAGGTATATAATAACTTATCTCATTTCATCTACTTTATGCTTTATTTCTTTGTATTCCCTTAGATTATATAACTTATGTCATATTTCTAACATATATATTACACTTAATCGTATTTTATTTATATACTACTTTAATCCATTTAATTAATTCAATTTCATATATTCCTTATAACCTTTTCATATAACTCCATAGATCTTTAGCATATAATTTATCCTATATATATACATATCATCACTTTATATTCAAGTTCCCTAATTGATATATTATTCCCATTCCATTCTATAATTCAATCTTATTTAGTTTCCTCAATTCTCATTAAATCAAATAACTCTATTTTACTAATTCTTATAACCATGTATTCACATAGTCTTATATTTCATTATCTTATTACTTATATTTATTCTCCTATGATTCTTCATAAACCTCTATTTCCATTTCCCTACATCTCTTGACTTATCTTCTGTATTCATATAATTTCATAACTTATTTGATATTCTCTCATTAACACTTAATATTGTTTGTACATAAACCATATAGCACATACAAAACATATCAATTCATATAATCAAGCATACATACACTCATATTCAACTCATGCCTTTAATCATGAATTCATATGTAACTCTTTAGGAAATAGACTCATCGCAAGTCTTCTTCCCATCACCCATTATATACTATTGAATATGCACTCACCTGGCCTCACTAGTCAATTCCAATCTCTTATCTTTCCCTTTGATCGATCTTACTTGACAATGATTCCAGAACTCGTTCAGGCTCTGAATCTACATAATTATACATTTTAAGGCAATTATTAGATACCTACACCTTATAATTTGATACTAGAAACTTAAACAAACTCATTAAACCAATAATCACTTTTTCTTTTAGGGGGGATCGGTTCCCTACTATGGGGGAATCGGTTTCCCAAGGACATTCTGGAATTTCTGGTTCGGTTGAGGGGGTATCGATTCACCTTTGAATGGGTACCGATTCCCCTAGCCCAGAAATCATGTTTTGAGCTCGAGAATCACTTCATTTTCATCTCCACACTTCCTATTTCACTTTCTTTAATATTCTTAACTCAAATATACGTACTTAAACTAATTTATACCCATTAATTTCATCTTAAACCTTAAAATTCTATTCTCCATATAGAAATCAATAATCATACCAAATTCTCCATGTTACCCAAACTTAATTCTAACACTTCTAGCTTCTTATTCTCATAGATGACAAGTCAAATTCAACTCCTAATTTGAGTAATGAACTATATTCCAAAATTTCATTCAAAAACTCTTAATCTTTAATCTCTCCTAATTCCACCATCCTTTGTTGTTGAAAACATTTTGATATTTCGATATAACAAATTAAGTTAAATGAATTTTAAGATTTTCCAAAAAGATTTTCTAAGTATATTTGATATAATTATTCGAATATCAAAACATTACTCTAAATCTTTCAAAAGTCATTTTTAATCCTTACTCAAGTGTAAAATTAAGTTTTAATCTTAAAACAATTTCAAAATAATTTTATAAAGTATTTCGAACCGTTTCAAAGCCAAAAATTCTAGATTGCTCAGAGGGAACCGATTCCCCCCAAGGGGTACCGATTTCCCCCTGAATGGTTTGGCTCTGAGAATTCCAGTATGCTCAGAGGGAACTGATTCCCCCCACTGTTCAACGGTCGAAATATTTGAATTTTACACTTAGGGAACCGATTCCCTATGAGGGGTATCGATTCCCCCCACGCTCCAAACTGTTTTATTAATTGATTTCACACTAAAATGGCTATCTTCATTAATGATCCCCAACGTTCAGAAGTGATTCAATGTGTATTTAAGCAAGCTTAGAAGCCATTGATCAAAAACAAGAAACATCAAGCAACTAGAATCAAGAGAGAATCAAAGAGAAAGCATCAAACCTCAAGTTTGAGCATTTCAAGCCTATTTTCATTCAATATTCATTTTGCTTTCAAGAACACTTATTGTTCTTAATTGTATTCATTCTTGAGTGTTCTTTTCTTTGTTCTAGAATTGTGCAAACAATCTACCTTGTGAGGATTTCCTTGTAAGTTTGCAAATTTGTATTGTTCTCTTTGGGAGAGAGTGTTCTCAAGAATTTGGGGTATAATTCTTAAGGGTTTGT